GTGGTGCCACAGTCTTTGGGCCCAAGGCAGCAATTTCATGGGTTCGGATACTGGTACCTGCCACTGATTTTTATCAGTACGCTTCATCCTTGTACTGCTCTAATTTACCGGTTGCTTTGCTGATGCTTATACAGTAGAGTCCCGCAAACTCGGCACTCAATAACACGGAAGTCTGGATAACTCGGCCAACACCTGTCTCAGAAAATTAGTGATTTTTGAGTCTGAGTTAAACATGGACTCAAGCCAGCTCAAGTAAAATCATTTGCAACTCATACCAAGGATTGTTTAACTATATCTGATGACTTAATACTGACTTTTAATATAAATATAATTATGAAAGGCGGTTAAAAAGCGTAAAAATTGTATTTTTCTTATTTTTAACCCTAGTTCCTAATAACCCAGCATTTCACAAACTTGGGACCCTTCCAGTCCACATTACACCGAGTTTGCGGGACTCTACTGTATTATCAATTATCAATTATCAATAATTTAAGATGGGGACGCCACTATGTGCGTATTTTAACCCAAATATGAGTGAAGGATGAGTGTAGGATGAGTGGCGCGATCTTGTAGTCTTGTTAGTGACTAAGGCTATTGTTTCACGCACATGTCTGTAGCCTATGTGGGCGGGCAAATGCAATAAAAGAGGCCGCCAACCTCTAAAAAAAGAAATAACTAATTACAGTATGGCCCTATTGTTATCCATAAGCCATGAGTAGGAATTCCAGTTAAAAGTAACACATTATACATACTGAAGGGTTTATGAAATTTACTGTTCACACGTCATGACAAATCTACCGCTACTATAACCCATGCACCCCATACTATTCCCTTACAAGCCAAAACACAAATATAACTCATTGTACAGTTGTCTAATGGAAGTTAAAAATGAGTAAAAGTTGAACAGTAACAGAAAGTAGTTTAATCATTTAGAAATGTAATTTGTGTCAGAAGTGAGAGATGGGGTCTGTGGAAGAGTTCATCACTTATACACAACACATACATAATGTATACAGGGTGGGTGGTGGAGGGACCTCAATCATTTACTGTGACACCTGCTTTGGTGCTTTTGATGTTTAAACTGCCAAGTGACTGTGTGAAAGTACAAGTTGCAGTTTAGTCAGATATTAAATTTAAGTGTATGAGTGTATATATATATATATTTATCCATGCTACAGTTGTTCCCAAAATAAATGAAGTTTATTCGCAAAATAAAGTTTATTTAGTTAACCAAAAATTGGACTTAACAAAAAACCCGTATTATCTCTAAAAGTCTAACATTTCATTCCATTTTACAATTGCGAAGGGTTTTAACATTAAAGACTTACCGATTTCTTTATCTAAGAACCTTAAGGGAGGTATATGAGTTGTTAAAAGTTGTCAGTTCATTTTCCCTCTATGCTATTGCCATGAGGAAAATCAAACGGCACATCTGTTGAACAGCAACTGTCAAGGTCCATAACACCAATGTACTAATTGCAATGTTTTACTGATCTAGTTTATGTTAACTTGATTGTGATTCACTTAACTAGATTGCGTTGTCGACCAATTAGAAAATTAGTCTGTAGCCGCAATCTAATGATTTCCTGTGTCACTTGTTTGTAGATAAATTTATTATTTCAACTGAATCATCCCCTGTGTTTAGTTTCTTATAAATTTGTTTAGGTTAAAAATATTAGGAATAGGTTAAAATGTTTAACTTATGAAAAATAAAATTGGGTAGAACTTTAGGTTTAAACGCATAAAAAAAGTTTGATGAATAATAAATTAAGATTTTAAATCTTATGATTACTAAAATCAGTATGTTTTGTTACAAGTATGAAAAGTTTCATTTTCCAATTGCAATTAAGTTTCATGTGTGAGACAAAGCCGAACTTAAAGATTTATATTGTTTAGCAGTAGAAACAGGAAACAGCTGATTTAAATAATAAAAATAATATTCTGATTAAGAGCAAGGGAAATCTGCTGATCAGGATTTTCTTTTGTTTCAAAACTAGGACTTGGTGGAAACAAGTATTGATTCTTAATATCAGCTGTCATGGAAAATACCTTCTTTCTGTAGGGATGGTGGAAAGTAAATTTACCAAGTAAAAGAAATATAATACTAGTCAATAGAACCATTTATAACCATAAAATAATATATATACAATTGAATAAATTCAATACATATTTCTTTTTCATGCCACTGAAACAAGAAATTTCAATAAGTAGTCTTTCAGAACATTTATAACCTCACTTTCCTACCACCTAATGATTGGGAATATTTTAAAAACTAGTTGATGTAAAAGTGTAAAAAAATGCCAAATAGAAATGTATAATCATATCTTTAACAACTGTATGGGTTTTAAATGGTTTTAAAATGAGCTTTCAAACATTCTTTGTATCTGCTTCACAATTATTTGTGTATGAAAAGTGTTTTTCATAATTTTATTTTATCCTGAGCCAAAGGTGGAACATCTGCAATATTCCCTGTGTTATTATGTGGTATTTGTTGGCTAAGTAAGGCAATGATCTGCTTAACAATTAGCAGACTGCAGTGTTCCCAGTGTACCTCATTAGCTTTGCAAGATCCCAAATGTTCTAGGGTCGTGTGTTTGGAAGATATACCTGAATAATTGCTTTTGTGCTCTAATAAATTAAATTGATTTGAACTCATAAGTATTAAGTGTTTTATTGATTATTTATGTTTGGTTTATTGGTTTATTTTTGAAGTTGTCTGTGTATTAGGGTCGACTAGGATAATTCTGGAAAAGAGGATTTGAGTACTGAAAAGTAAATTGTTGTAAGGAAAAACTTTTTAATAAATTTAAAATCTGAACAATGACGCTCAACAAAATTATAGATTTTTGCTATTTTATTTTACTTTATTAATTCTAATTTTGTTGTTGTCTTCTTTTAATGTGGTTCTTAGCCATTAACTATTATAGTCAATTCCATTACTGTAGGTCTCATGGTTTCCTAGACCCGAGACCGAATTATATTTTCTTTACTTTGATTGCTTTTTCAACTTAATACTTGGAGGTCTTCTGAGGACGTAATTTATATATTCGAACAAGTGCGTTAATATAACAGATCACAGATTTAAAAAAATTGTAGTCTTTCCGACTAGATGGTTTGTGAGGATGGCAAAAATAATAAAATATAAACATGCAATATATTCTACTCGTCTTATGGGAATGTACATAAAGAAAAAAGGTCGGGAAACACTGTAGAGCTAGCAGAGACCTCAGTCATGTTCTAGCAGTGTGCGAGTTTGTGTGTTGGTGTGTGTGTGTGGGTGCTATAGAGACCATATGGCGGTGGTGATTATTGCTCAGCATCGCACTGGTGGGAGGGTTTGAAAACTGCTGCATTAGTTGACTCACCCAGGCCCGGGTCAAAGGTCAAACTCATTTAGATCCTCAACTCGCTCCAATCTTGACCACAGTTTATTGCAAACTCCAACACTATATGAGATCATCCTTGCATTCTGCACGAGTTTGAGTGGTCAACTTGTTGGGTTTTAACGTTCGCCGTGTTTATGAGTTATGCTACATTTTTATTTAATTTCTCAAATGAAATAGGGAAAAATTTAGTTTTAAGATTATAGTAGTTTTTCTGCAGAATTATGTTTAATTTAAATTATTGAAAAATATTTACTTTATTTATTATTATATTGGCTCTTGAAAATTTGTACAAACGTATGAATCTAAGTTTATTCAAAAAAGTTTGCGAACAAGCTGATTGAACTTTGTGATCAGGTTTACTGGGGGATATTATGATATAAAAATTTGTTTACCCCATATTTGACCCTAAACACATAAGATTTGGAAATTTCCTTACAAACCATTTTGTAGTGCTTAAAAAAACAAATAATTTAGTTTGTTGAAGCGTTGTTGTGCGCCAAATAATTACAAAGAAACTTTTTAAATGGTAAATTTAAAATCCTTATGTTATTTTTATGTAGCAAACTGTTGTAGTTTGCTTGTTTAAGGATAAATTTTCATCAAATTTGTTGAATTTATTTATTTTATAACAAGCTATCAACATTTTTCCAATAACACACTTTGTTACTTATCTTTTACTAAACCTAAGTAGGGAATAAATATGACATTTTAAGTAAATATTCAAGTAAAATTCTATCAAACAAATATGAATTGGCTTAGTCTGCAGGTTTGCTGCGGCGGGGGCATCTAATTCTTTAATACTTATCACAACAATTCTTCTAAAACTAAGTTAACAAACTCAAATCCACAGCACCATTTAATATCCCATTAGGAATGTCATCAGTGACTCACTTCTTGAGACACTTATTGATGAATGAGTTTGTTCTCTTTTTGGATATCTATAAGAGGAAATAATAACCATTAGCTTAAAATGTGTCCAAATATTTTTCAGCTTTACTGTGCTATTCATTGCTATATTTTTGTTTATACCACTACTGTGCAATAGATTTTGATAGTCTTGAATGTATATTTTAAAACAATGATGATTGTTGTGTTGGATACTCTATTACTGACTAAGATAATAGCGAGTGAATGATGACAGCTTTGTTCAGTTTCAATAATTCATAATTGTAACTGTTCGAGAATAGTCTCTTTCATTACATGAATTGCGATCTCCACTTTTCAGTGATATTATATTTGTATTATGGCTACAGAAAGTCACTACCAATGTAAAGGGTGAGCTGCAAACTAACTTAGAGATAAGTGGCTTTGAGTTGGTTTGGTTGTAGATTAATCTGTTCTCCTAGAAGAATGTAAATTATAAAAAAAACAAGTAAATGATCAGCATTTAGTTTGTAAATTTGGCTATCAACTCTGTTGTTTTTTATGGTTATTGTATATGCTTTATTCGAAAATTTCTTCATTTCCTGCACTTCCTTATAAAATAAATTGCACATGCTAAATGTCTTCTAAACGTGATAATGAAGCCATCGAGGCCTTTAAACCATGGAAACTACAAGAATAGGATTACTTGGTGATACATAAGGTAATAACCTAATTATCTGTTTGTTGCAGAGGATGGCGATGATGAACGACTCTTCGCTGAGTCACTCGCGAGCGTCGTCATGCTCCAAGCTGCCGCACTCACACTCTACCCCTGTAGGGGTGGACGGAGGCGTGGTCGGCTGTAGTCGGACGCCTCCCACCACACCTAAGAAGGGAGGCAAGATGTTGGCCATCCGGGTACAGATGTTGGACGACTCCGTCACCATGTTCCAAGTGCAGGTGTGTACACAGCGTGATGGGTGTAAAGCTGAGGTTTAAGTCAGGGGGAAGAGAAAGGAGAGGAACTAGTCTTTGTGAACGACTCTTTAAAACAAATCGATCTTCTGTTTCAGTTCTCAGAGAGCTATAATAACGGTATTGGCTAAACCAATCAAAAGAGTAAACATAAAGAGAGGGTTTAATCCTAAAAATTCTTACTTCTGTCATTTGTTTCATATTTTGGATGAGTTCATTGAGCCATAGCTAAAATAAGATAATTCTGTGCAATAATCCCCTAACTTAAGGAAACCTAACCTAACGATCAAGGATATGAAGTTTATAAACTATGGGGTATATAACCCATATTTTATTCTCTTCGCACTTTTAGAGTTTATAGACTGAAAATTATCATAATAATATTAATTTATTGCCATTTTGTATTGTAATACAAAATTATTGTAGCAATCTGTGAGCCAAAACAGGAAAAAGAGTCGTTTCAACGAGTCATTTTCAGAGCTTTTCATGAGTACAACTTTCTGAGAACACATATTTTCACCTCAAGTATGATGCTTAGTATAGTCTTTGTTGAGGCTTTTTTAAAGTAATGATTGGATCTACCACAAGAGTGATTTTTCATCTAGATGTGATATGTATGGCTATGATACACGGCTTGAATATTAGATGAGAATGATATTGTTTGGGACGTAGTAGGCTATTTAAATTGTAGAATTTTCATTAGGGGTATAGTTTAAAATATGAAAAATAGTTCTAGAGATTTACAATGGAATGAAACTTAAAACCAAATAAATCAGGCAGTTTTAGTTTGATTGTATCTACAGATTAAAACCAACATGATATTGACTATCTCAGTACAATTCAGTTAAAAGTTTGTTGACGATGTAAACCAAAACAGGCGTTATTATCAACGTTCTATCCAAACCTTTAACCTCATATAAATTACCAGTATGGGTTTTGAATTGAATTTTCCCTCCTATAATTTATAGCCAGGTTATTGTAGGAGGAATGTTTCTTTACAGAATCTTTGTTCAGCTAAAGTACACATTTGGTACAAAAGGCTGGCAATTCGATCAAGCAGCTGTTAACATTAAGGGAAGACGTGGTGGAAGGTAATTGGATTTTACTAAGTCAGGTGGAATTTACCAGCCTTTCTGAATCGTTTGGTGCCCAACAGATCTCCTTGATTGTCCCTTAAATACGTTGTGTACTCCCTTTTGGGCTATATACACTTAAAAGGTGGTTTGGACATTTGGGAAGGTCTTATACTATTTTAAATCTTTTTAAGTACCAGTGTCAGATGTTGTTGACTGTTTTACAGTAGTTTTTCTGGTGTTTGTCAAAACTGCTTGCCAACAATGTCACAAAAACATATCAAAACACATCTCGCGACATTGTGTGATGTGATATATGTCTAACTGCTATATTGAAAGGTGTCACAATAGCGATAGATTTCAAATAATCACTTCAGTCCATCAGGTCTAGTTGGAAATAAAGTTTTAGGAAGATTATAGTAGATTCGTATAGTACAGTATATAGCTAACGGATTCGTATAGTATAGCTAACATGTAAAATGCTAATGTAATTATTTAATTTCACCTTAAGAAAACCGAGAAGTTAATTAGGTACTTCTACAGCGTGACAAGGGGTAAAGGTTCTTTTTGATTGCTAAGGGGTAAAATACGAGGAAGGGTTTCTAACAACAGAATCTTGTCATATTTATACTGTACTTTCAAATCATTTAACCGATAGGCCAGTATTTTAATTGGTATGGGAAGACACAATTAGCAAATTTTGCTAGGTTGTGTCACAGCTTCTTTAAAATTAACTCTACGATATTTTATACTGTGCTTTCAAATTGTTCTAATTGACAATCGAGTGGGATTGAGATAATGAATCAGTCAGATGTTATTTCATTTCCAAACAGTTTATAAGATCAGCTGTTTATAGTTTCTATAGTTCTGGGCAACTAATGACGAACCAGTGTCCTAAGCTGTGGCGGCCAGTCCTACCCTTAAACTGTGGGGAGCGAGCTGGTCTAGTGGTTAGAGCGCAGGACTCCGGTTCCTGGGGTCCCAGGTTCAAATCCCGCCTTATCACTAATGGATTTTATCTAAGTGATAATGCCACAACCCCTAGGTCTAGCCTGAAAGAATGTGAAAAACAATTCCGGACTCGTGCCTAGTGTCCTAGGACAAAAAAAAACCCTTAAACTGTGTTCTCACTCAATAGGTCTAAGGAGCCCAAGTAACAATTGATTTCTTTTATATTACAAAACATGGAATATTTCACTTTCTCTTAAATTTCTTTTATCATGCAAATCTGTAGCCATTTACACATTTCATTCAAGTTTACATATTTATTTGTTGTGAGTAAAAATATAAAATATGACTGATTTGTTGTGAAATTCGTTGCAAAAAGGGATTTTTAGTTGCATGGGATGGATCGTATGGGAGGTGTCAGTTGCACAGTGTCTGGTGGTCTGGACTGGAGTGGAAGCCGTCTCACCAGTCCATTTATGGACAATGTAGACCTGGGACATTCCTTAACTCTACACTAGCTGTTGTCAACTGTATCGTCTATATACAAACCTATATTGTATATTTCTCAATAAGAACCAACACAGATAGCTTATTGACTTTAATAGGATAGCTGAGTGGTTATAGTGCTCGCCTAACTATCTAAAGGTTGCAGGTTCCTTGGAAAAGTCAGTAGCTTTTGATGGTCTGAAACTTGACTCAGTTGTTCCTAAACATTAGATGATACTGGTTGAAGAAACAGCTGATCTTTGTCAGGAATAAACACACAATTTTTTACTCCATTCTACTCTCATTTTGCATCCATATTCATAAGAACAAAACATAAAAATATAAGTGTGTATTGCTGTCTTAAAATAATGATAATAATGATATGTTTGACCACTTAAAATATTTTCTGGGTGGAAATTCTGCTTTTAATTTTTGGATATTATTTTTGGTGTCTAGTGGCTATGAAATGGTATTTTACTGGAACAAAAAACCACGAGGAATTAGTATTTTACAGAGGAAATGTTGGTTGGGCTAAAAAATGATCGAGAGCGTTGTTTGAAGTACATAAAATCATACATCACTACGAAAAAGTTCAGCACTGTGTATCTTGACACGTCAAAGTCAAGAATTTGTAAAAGGACGAAATTAAAATCAGCCAGGTTGAAAAGTAGCAAATATTATTTATATGGTGCTAGTTATTGATTTTACAAAATAGGTAGCCTGCATTTTCAATTGTTACTTAACCTAAAATTGGTTAGGAATTATTTAGAAGTTTAATATTAATATTTTTCAACAAAACCCCTTATTTTGAGATTCTTTTGGCGTTATTTCCAGTGCTGGAAGGCATTTTGTGTAGAAAACGTTTGTCTCGTTGACCTCAACAACAAAAGTGTCTGTCTTAATGTGGCTTCATTTATAACTGACACCTGTACATTAATCTTTCCGAAGTCCTTACGTGGGCAGCGTTAAAAACACCCAATTATGAACCAAAGTCCAAGTGAAAAATTAACATAAAAATTTCCTCACTGAAAATCCCCTAGGCAAGATCATTACTTCATTTCCTCAAAACAAACAAACAAACGGAAAAGAGAAGTTGTGTTTGTTTCCAGATATCTGTTATCTACAAGGCTACAAGATGAGTTTGTTTTATAATACCTGGTTGTTTTTTAACACTTCTTTGTTACTTGGAAATTTAGATAAATCAAGTTGTCTAATAGAAACAATAGTCTGTCAGCATTGTTTTGTTACATAGGCTGTGTGTCTAATCAGGCAACATTCAGTACTATAGTCCTCGCCACCCTAAGTTGAGGCAGCCAAAGGCCGCACTAGATATACGCCGTGCGGCCTTGGGCTGCCTCAACTTAGGGTGGCGAGGACTATAGTACATTGATAGTACATATATTAACCATGGTGATGGCGGCTGCTTCTAAGTCAGGTCCAAGTGTTATGTTCAAAGGCAAAAGTCAATGGCCGCAATACCTTAGTCGATTTTGTTAAGAAGGAACATTCAATCTATGTTCAAACTAAACATTCAAGAGTGTTTTGTGTACCTTATAGGTTCTGTAATTGGGTTGACTAACCTGTCCTAATTTGTTAAGTTTGAATATTTTTAGCCTTTAGCCTGATGAGTTTAAAGAGGTTTTTAATTTTAACTGATAACTCCACTTCCTTAAATATCAATTTTTAACAACCGCTAACACATTTCAGATTGATTGTTTTATTCATAACCATTGTTGAAAACACAAAATTGATTTCTTCATCATTTAATTAATTTATCTCAATTTTTTCTGTGTTGGATTAAAGACTGAAGTACATGCCACGTACATGTCTTTTTTCCTGCTTTAGTAAGCTCTTTTCCTAACAGTTAACTAAGAGGCCTCTTAGATCTAAAAGCTTAGAACAAATTTATGAATCTAATTTATAAATGTTTTGGATTTTTTTATTCAGTTAACTGTTAGAAAAAGATCTTACTAAAGCAGGAAAAAAGACAAGAACTCAAATGTTTGAGAAAGAGGGAATTGTGAAAGGAAGTGAACCCAACAGGGCGTTAGCGGTAATAAAAATAAATCTTGTGTCTTGTTTTACCACGGTTCATTGAACTTATAATCAGCTGTATGATTGGTTATATTCCAGGCCAGATCATAAAAACAACTACATAATATTTTCAAAATATTCCAAGGGATATACAGTAGTTTGAATGTAGATTTGAAATAACTTCTTCCCAAACAAACAAATTTGAATGTTCAAGCATTTTTATGATTTTTTGTCAGGTTGAGTAAAAAGTTATTTCTCTAGAGCAATGTTACAGTAAGTCCAATTGTTAGATTGATTCAAAACAATCGAGAAGTCTTGTCGTGACTATGATTATGTAATCAAGAACCTTTGACTGTTGATAGCCATGGTGGAAGGAAAAAACATAGGTGTGCTATTCCCACATATTTTGACGTCACTCGGATTGCAAACAAAAGATCACATGATTGTAACTGTCAAATTAGTATATGTATTTGTTTTGATTTGGTTGTTATTGTTTTTATTATTATAAAAACAATAACAATCAAATCAAAACAAATACATACTAATTTGACAGTTACAATCAGGTGATCTTTTGTTTGCAATCCGAGTGACGTCAGAATATGTGGGAATAGCACACCTATGTTTTTTCCTTCCACCATGGTTGATAGCTAGACATTTCATCCCATTGTTAAGGTTGTTGCAATGTTTAAAGGGACAAGTGGAATTGAACCATTAAAAAATTGTGCTGATAAAAATGACTGATTTTTGTCAGTGACTTTTTTTTAACAAGTCAAACTGATAGGACGATTTTTTGTAGGCTATAGCATCTATTGTCATGTCAACTTTATCAATATAAAAGAATGAGTTGGAAAACCAAATTTGAGACACTAGCGCACTCTGTGACTCGCTCATTCAAGTTGTTTCTTATTGAATAAAAAACTGACAATAACAGGTCCACATGTGATGTCTATCAGTATCTAAATGTCAATAGTAGAATTTACCCCTAAATATTTTGGTAGGTTCTTTGTGTACTCTACGTAGCAAAACATCCTTCATAAAAAATAACTAGCCTAGTGTAAATTCAAACTAAATTTACATATTTTTATTTGAATTATCATTACCTATTGATATGGGGACGCCTCCTAGGTGTGTATTTTAACCGAAATATCAGTGAATGATGAGTGTAGAAGTGTGATGATTTGTGTAGCTTTGCTACTGACTAAGAACAGCTGTTTCATTAGCCAGGATCACATTTCAAGCCCAATGATCAGTAACAGCTGGGTCCAGTTTCAAACCCTATTCAACCCTCCAGCTATTAATGTCTTGTTACATGTTTTTACATGATGTGTATACATCTTGTTTTGCTGGAATAAAATACGTCACAGTAAAAAAAAGCTGATCATGTCTTTTAGCATAAAAATCAGAGCGAGAAAAGACTGAAATAGAAAGAGAAATTCCCTCAATTTCAGAGTAAATGACTCTCACTGGACGGGTCACACACTTCGTTTGCTCGTTTGAATCCTCTTGATTTCACATTGTGTGGTCGTCCTGTTTTCAAATATGTGTTATATTGCTTATTCTTAAATCTTATAGGATCAAGACTTAATGGATGAGGTGAGGAGAACAAAAAAATGTTTTTTAAACTATTGAAATGATCTATGAAGGTTGCTACTGTTTATCAGCAATCGTTATATGATAGTTATGGAATCTTGGAATCGTTATCAATACTGTTCAAAAGGAATTTTGATTGGGAGAAGTGGTATTGATTGAGTGAGTTTTACCATAAAGAGAGACATGTTTTGAATAATGAGTTCTCAGACTTTTTCTGTTATATGTATACCACTAGGTTTTTTTCAGGATAAAATTTGAGATTATCTTCAATCCTAATTAAGGTTAGGTTGTTAAATGTTAAGTTAGAGGGTTGCGGAATTATTTAAATAAAATCCAATAGTGATTGCCGGAATTTGAACCCTGGATCTCGGACCAAAGTCTCACGCTGTACCAGTAGACCACCTTGCTCCTTTAATTGTGTTTTGTTACAAAACTCTACATATTGGTTACGGTTGTTTTATAACAGAAAAGGTCTAAGGTATCTCTCTTAATGCTCGGCTTTACGTAGGAAAATATAAGCCCTAACTTTTGGAACACTAAACACACACATTTTACTATTTTTATTTTACTAGATAACATACTAGATTTAAAATAGTTTATTGAAGACAATTTTCTGAAGAAAAAATTCTTTGCAAAGAACTCATTGCAGAGTTTTTTTGTTGTTGCAAGATTACTTCGCCACATACATGGTTATTTCAACTGAAAATCAATCTGAAACAAGTTAGCACTCAGTAATAGTATTGGATGTATTCCAACCATTTTACACAGGTTATGGTTGATATTAGAGACATAAACGACAGAGGAGCGCCAGAGGAGCGCGGCACATTTGTGTTTGACAGTGAGTGGATGAGTTATAGCTCTGTTGTAGGTTGTTGGGAGGGGTAGCTGTGGGATTACTGGCTGCTGTTGATATTATTGTTAGTGGATAACAAGCTAGTTGTGGCAAGCGTTCAATCTATGTTCAAACATCTTTATTTATTTATATGGCACAATGAACAGCTTCAATACAATTCCATCACTAAAATATACTTCCGTTGTAGCAAACCTGTTGACTCGAATTTCAATTAGTCTGATTTTGGATATTTACTTAAATATTTCCTTAAACTTTTCAGATTTATTCCCTATTTAAAATAACATTAGATTTAATGAGTCTAGGTTTTGCTGTTACATGGAAGAAAAATGTTTTTTTTATGATAAAAGTGTTAAAGTTAGTAATAAATTTGCCAAATTTGATCAAAACACATATCATTGGCATTTCATGTTTAAATTACTAAATTATTTGAGGGAGGTGGAGAATTCTATGATGGAATAAATGTCCTTGTTTATTGTATACTCTTTCAATAATTTACTGAACTTTGTAAATTGTATTCCATTTTTTATACTATTTGGAATTATTTCTTTTATCAATTACCTGATTATGTTGGCGTTTTCCCCCCAAAAAATTGTAGTATATGGGGTTGTTTAATCTCCCGTCTGTTTCTTAAATTGTAAGAATGAGATATTTGTTGTGGTCCTGTGTGTAATTTTTGTTATTTGCAATGATATTGTCTCATAGATGTAATATTGATAGACAGTGAAGATTTTTAGGTTTTTGAAATTTTTGTTGACTCATTCTGTAGCAGCCATAGCGTAATCTTAAACTTAACCTGATTCGCATCAAAAGGTAGAATTAGAATTATCCATTTTTAAACGGAAGTGTGATGAAGGTTTGTAACTTTAAAATTCATTGGGCCCAGAATGTGTTGAGTTAATTTACAACTGTAACTTGCATGAAAGAGCAGAGCAGGTAAAGGCTGGGTTCAGCTATTATTCAGCAATGGTAGACAATGCCTCCACTTTACTGTTGAATACATTCAATTGTTAGCTACGCTCCGGCATGGCTCCGGGCCCCGTCATAACACTGGGTGTGGAAAATATCTCTCTTAGTTGTTACAGTATGTTGAATATGTATACTGATTTGGATTCATATATTAAATTTGTCAATTAATTATCAACAAGTGTGTTACGTTACTGTCCTAAAATTGTTGTCTAATGGTGACCAGTTTCAACACCTACGTTTCTTTTCCAAGCAAAACAAATTCTTCACCTGTAAGATTTAAGTCTTTAAAAATCACTTAACAGACACAGACACAAACAAACACAAATTAAACAAGATAAAATGTAAAACCTTAATAATGAGTCACATGCGTTAGATCTTCGTGTGTTAGATGCTCGATGGTGGTTTTGGCCTTTGGGGGAAATCAAAACGAAAAAGTAATCGGTTCCGTGTCTAGGTCTTACCCCTGAGACCTAGGGTATTTAGCCTCTGGAAGATGTTTTTCCCAATAAAAAGGTTAAATCCCTGTTTATGATTGTACCTCAGTCATGACTTTTCTTTACAGCTTGAAAATGAACCTTAAGGTTCGAAACCTTGGTCGCAGACTAAATACTGTATCATTTACAGTTTAACAGGTATTTAACCTTTTTACTTGGGTTATACAGGGTGTCCACATTCTGGAAAGTCATGGAAATTTCCAATTATGGATGGATTTGAGGGGACCATTCAATGCTCTAGTCAGCTGTAACCCGGACTGTTGTAGCATTTTTCAGGATTTTTCACAATTGTTCGACAATTCAATTTATTACAGTTGTATTATTTTATGAGTTTTCGGTTTGTTTTAGTTCATTGTTGTACCTATTGTACTCCATTGTTATCTGTTATTACATATTTCAGTATTTTCTGCAAAATAACATGTCCAGGCAGTTATATATTTGTGTGTGTATGTTATATTATAATTTGCGTGTAAAGTTCATGAGTCATGGAAATCAATGGTAAATGGTCATGGATAGTCATGGAAAGTCATGGAAATTAATGACAAATTTTTTTGTGGACACCCTGTTATAGCTTATTTCCCTTAAGGAGACACCAAAAAATCTTAAGGTAATTTAAAACTTCAATTTGATAGTGAATTTTCCTCTTTCTGCTGATTTTGCCGTTTTAACCTGTGATATGTTGTTGACAGGCGAAGGCCGTTGGTAGAGTGTTGTTTGACCAAGTCTGCAAACAACTACATCTACTGGAGGCTGATTACTTTGGGCTGGAGTATCAGGACCCTACTGGAACTAGGGTAAGTTGCCAGGAACACTTAGTAGTAATTGTGATTGATTTGTGTGCAATATTCAATCGTAAGCTTGTGCAGCCAATGTCATCACTTAATTTGGGTATTCAGACAAGAGCTGTGAGAGATTGGTCAAATTTGGCCAGTCTCAGCTTTGAGCTTTATCACATGAAGACACATTTTAGAATGGGAAAGATTGAATGTCGGGTATTGTAATTAATATTGATAGTCTAGATACCAATTTGACGACACTCTCAGCGGAATACCAATGATGACTTGGTAGGTGTAACCTACTTGAAGGTTTTGTTCGATTAAAGTTAACTATACAACTTTTTTGTATTTTTTTACGTTTGATGAATTAACCATTGATGTAGCATCATACGATTCTATGGTTTACAGTAACCTTTAATGTATCTATGCTACAACAAGTCAAAAGGTTGAAGTAGCTAGGGGTAGGATTACCCTAACCCTCATGTGACCATTTTAACATCTTACAAGTCTAAGGTTAGCCTAATAGTTAAAAAATATTGATGCATTTGCAATTCAACCTTGCATTTGCCTATCAACAAAGGCTTCTAGCCTGTAACTTGAAGTAATCAAGCAACGCAAGGGATGAGCTGGAGCTCTTCCCCTAACCTTTCTCTATCACTACCCTTTTTTTTATAACGTTCCCCATATGTTATCTAACAATTATTTTAGAATATCTCCTTCTCTTTCCTATTCTGTGCCTGTTCTCTGGGTACTTTTATACTGAACTTTTATATTGTGTTTACAATTCTGAAGTCTATGTTGTGACACAGTATTGGCTGGACCTGGAGAAGCCTCTGGCCAGACAGGTAGGCCTCACGTTGGTCGACCCTTTGCTGCAGTTCTGTGTCAAGTTTTACACACCAGACCCGGCCCAGCTGGAGGAAGAGTTCACCAGGTACCTGTTCTGTCTTCAGATCAAACGAGACCTAGCGCAAGGTCACATACAGTGTAACGAGAACACTGCCGCACTCATGGCGTCTTATATTGTACAGGGTAAGTGTAGCCTTTCACTTCATAATAGAGAAACATATGTTCAAATCAAATAAATGCTGAACAATAATACAGCAGACGCTTGTTAATCCATAGGGGACTTTGACAGTGTTGGATTATTAGAAATTCCGGATTTCTGAATGTCTTATAAAAACAGCCGTTATTGCAGACTTCCGAAAATACCGCTATTTAGGGCATAAAATAGAAATTGTTGGTTGGCGAGCCATTATTTTGTTTTATTGTGCTTCCTAATATTTTAGTTATGATGTAAAATGATAAATAAAAGAATAAATGAAAATCAAATGCAATGAATTCTTTTTTAGCTCAAAAAGTGTGCTGTTTGCTTCTGACCTATTATGATTGCTTTCCGACTCTGCTGAATGTAAAAGCTTTAAAGAGCCTTAACATTTTTTTTTGCCTTAAACATTCTGGATTATTTAATTTTTTTTTTAGTTAGCCTACCTGATTTTGAGAGACTCAAGACTCAAACGCCCTTAGAAATCAGAAATAGTAAACAAAACTAATTTTATTTCTACACAATGAGCAATCAGCCATTTGTTGTTCTTAACAAATCAATAAGATAAACTACACTGTAATTTTAAACAATTAAATCATATGACTGTCAGTTTAAATACATCCCGAAAACAAAACATTCTATCAGAAAAGGTTATTTCAAAATAGATATTGGGTTTTTAACAATCATATTTACGACAATTGTAAGCTTCAGCATGTTTTCAACTACATTATTGCTTATGATCTGGAATAAAGCTGGCCTCGGCCAGAGCTTTCTCGAATATAATTTTAAATTGTCTTTGGCTAAGTTTAAAAACAAATACTTTAAACTATGAATATGTACACTGAAACATTGTGTAAGATGTTACCCAATTTTTGCATTCTCTTCCAGCCGAGTGTGGTGACTTTGTAGCCGAAGATTATCCAGACCCTTCGTATCTCTCCACGTACAAATTTGTGCCGCACCAAGACCGCGACCTTGAGAGGCGGATCATGGAGAACCACAAGAAACATGCGTAAGTTGTCAAAACATAGCTTGTTCATAATGTTTTTTTTTACTAAGTTAGTCAAATAACTTTTTGCACCATGGTAGTAAAAAACAATATGGTGGTAAATAGAGACTTGGAAAATGAACAGGATAAACTGTGAGGGCCGACTAGAAATTAACAGATGTTTTGCACCGACACTGCTTGGGGCGGGAATTTTGCCGCCATCGTTAGTATGCAACCAGCTTCGTTAGATTATACATTATATCTCTAATATTTTTTCTGCTGTTGAATGTTCTGTCCCATCAGTCATGATTTGTTGCCAACAAAAATCTGATTGCAGAGCGTACCTTACAACTACAATACAATACACACAGTACAATGTCACAACAATGTCAGTACAATGTCAGCACACATTTTGAGATTCCACTGCAGACAAGATAAGTGATAATGCTCTGGCGACTGAGTGTAGGAACATTCTCATAGTAAGATGGCAGCGATAGTCTCCCCTACGTGAAGCAAATGCGAATTGTCTGTTACTTTCTGGATGGCGGTCGTACACTCAAATGAAGTATCCTGATTATCAGTACTGGTCAAGAAAGAATATTTGTGGTGGCACTACTATCAACTTGTTTTGCTCTTGATAAGGTTAGTCAAGACTTTCTTGTGCAAGCAGCACTTTGATGGATCTAAATGCTGGATCTGTAAACGTTTTGTGAAAATAAATTCTTGACTTGACTTATCTTTATAGCAAGTTCTTTCGTCTAATCCTAATGAATGAATTATCTTGGCGTACACTCCAAAATCTGAACATAAAGACAATATTCTTTATATTCGCCTAATTTATTTCCTTATTTCAGTGGCCAGTCACCTGCAGAAGCGGACCTAAATCTTCTAGAAACTGCTCGTAGATGTGAACTGTACGGCATGAAAATGCATGCTGCTAAGGTAAAGACCCTTTTTTAGGTAATTTAAAAGAAATAATTGATCTTTATTTTTTCACTATCTTACAGTTTTCACAATGGATAATATTTTCAAAATGTAATTTGTTTCTTAAATTTCTTATGCATCAGTTTTGTAACGTGGTTTTTGTAGTATTGCCTAGTAATTTTGTTATTATACTGGACTGAGTATCGTCCTCTTACTTCAAAAGACTTTATTTGAATTTTTTGTCCGAAAAAAGCATGGCTTAAGAATACATTAAGGTATAAGGAATGGATACACATCAAACTTACTTAAGAAATGAGTACCTGACAGTTAAAGCACAGTTTTGTAACTGCTATTTCCATTATCATCTTAAACTCTAAACAAATTGGTACAATTTCCATTGCTGTAAAAAATATGGTTCAAAGGTTATTGCAATTTTTGTCATTTCACCTACTCCCACTTTTCACCCATTATAAAGGTTTTTGACCAGCCTATTTGTAGAAATCATGTGTCTGTTTGCTGATAATGTTTATTTTATATTGAACAATTTGAGAATGATTGGTGTTTGTTCCGCAGGACCACGAAGGTGTGCCTCTAAACCTGTCAGTAGCCCACATGGGCCTCGTTGTCTTCCAGAACTACACCAAGATCAACACCTTCTCCTGGGCGAAAATCAGGAAAATCAGCTTCAAACGGAAGCGGTTTCTGATCAAACTGCATCCGGAGGGATATGTAAGTTTTTTAATGTTTCTGTGCGTGTAAAATGTTAGGGAAATTGTTCAGAAGATTCACTCTGGTTCAGTTTCATTGAGAGTTTGGATAGTATGTACAAGCACCTGGATATGACTTGTGCATTTTGCAATGCTTTAATTGCAACTAGTGAATAAAGTCACTTCTATTGTCAAGTGCTTTAAGCAATTTACTAATTTTACATAATTTGTGCTTTTAAAAAGTATTCAGATATGTTTAGTTAGAATAAGAGCTCAATTCTTAGTTGTCCAAACAAGAAAGACCTCAATTCTTAGTTTTCCAAACAAAAGTGTGTAGGCCTAAATTGTATTTTTGTTGTATAGAAATAGTGTTTAACATTTAATTATCGGTGACCTACCGGTACTTTAACATTGTCGAAACTCACTAATTTTTTTTCAAAATGATTTGTATTTAAGTTATTGTGCTAATGGACACAAAATATATATTTTAAATGGGTGATACTTTGGCCTCTGAGGACCTCAAAACGGAAAAAATCTGTATTACCTACGGTAATAGCTTATTTCCTTCATGGGAAATTCGTTATCAGAATTTCCACCTTTTATCCTATACAGCAAAAATTCTTTTAACTACGCTTTAGTAGTATGATACTGACAAGTGTGTTTCCTTGATGTTTGTTTCTGTGTTGTGCTCTACTTAAATTTTAATTATATTTTGTTATCTCTAGTTGTTGAATATTTATTTAGTTGTGATCCGTTATTTTTACTACAGGGTTACTACAAAGACACAGTCGAATTTTTCTTCGAGGGACGAAACGAATGTAAGAACTTCTGGAAGAAATGTGTCGAAAATCACGGCTTCTTCCGCTGTTCTTCCGTTAAGAAAGTGCCGAGACAGAGAACGAGAGTTTTGAGTCGAGGTTCATCCTTTAGGTAATGAGTTACATCAATCTGCTTAAACTTTATAGTGATATGATTACATGGAGGCTGGTAAAACTTGATAAAGTAATTTTTACTCTAAACTAGTGAATTCTGAGATAATGCTTTGTTTGGAATGCCTTTGCTGCAATAGACATTCTGCAGTACGTAAATTACCTGCATTTGATACTTTTGCGCTATATTTACTAAACTTTGGAACTATTCGTTCACAAAACGCTTTAATGTTGTATATTCCAACATTTTTCAAAATATGTATGTTTTTAATATTACTTGTCTATAATTATTGTTCAAAATTGCAAAAATAAAATTCTAATAGTATTACTTGATCCTGGGGCCACTGAAAACAAAGTTGGTTTTAAGAATCACCAACATATTTCCATATTCTTATAACATCTTTGTATGGCTCTCACAGTTGTTTGATCTTTCTCATTGTTCATAAGCCATCTTTCTGAACTGACTGTTGATTTTTTTGTAAATCTTGTTTTCAAAATAATGGGATAGGTTGTTTATGGGATTGTCTGTGAAGACCCCTGACCAATAAAGTCAAACGGGTATTATGATTGGGTTTTGTTTTTCATTTTTTCTGGTTTGCATCCTACTATTAAGTAAAGTAGCTTAATAAGCGTCCAAAATGTTGTATTATTGTTTTCACTTTTATTTTCAAGCAAGTTGCAAGTGTTTACAAAAAAATAGGCTATTCTACCTGTCGTTAACAGCTGTAAGCTGAAAACATTTGTATGCTTATAGACACATGTAGAATACTGTCTAACTTGGAACTGCTAAAGACAGATATTTTGCCTATTAATTGTTTTCCAATCTTTGACTAGATAGAACTAGATATTCCATTCGTTAAAAACCAATGATTTATTAAACTTTTTTTCTCAAAATGATCATTTTTTAACTGAGCCGACAAATTTTGCTGATGTAAATTACTGATTTCTGTCGAATATTCTAACTGTTTAACTAATTTAATCTGATAGGACGACTTTTTGTAAGCTATAGGATATTTTATGTCATACCAATAATCTCAGTAAATAAAAATAGGGTAGAAAATAAGAATTTCACACACTTGCACACTTTGCGACTGTATCCAAAGTCAAAGATTCTACACAATTTCGGTGCTAATACAATGAATTGAATGAATCAAGTTTCTCATCACTGTACGTGTTCTTGCAGGTATAGCGGCAAGACGCAAAAGCAGATCGTAGAGTTTGTCAGAGAGAACTACGTCAAGAGACAGACATTCCAAAGGTGAGCAGTTGTCTAGAACTACTGCATGTAATATCAGATTCCCGCACGGTCGCTACACAAGTAGCGGCCGCTCGTTTGCTCCCCTCCCCACCTGTAAATGTCGCTCTTTACGCTCCAAAACTGTTGTGTCCGTGTGTTCTTGTAGCCTTTGTGTTTCTACGCCGCTCTTCGTGTTTGTATTCTGCTTATTTCAGGATATTTTACCCTATGTCATGATTGTTCCTATATACATTGTGGATGAAGCAGTTTTGCAGTTTGCCCATGATTGCAGTGCCGAACAATAAATGTCCCCTTTCATGGTCCAGGTTTGTTATTTTTATGTATCGTAATCTTGTAAACTTTGAATCTGTCATGAATTTAGATGTTGCATTTGTTTTTAAAGTTTTTGCAAAGCTATTTATACATGTCGACTTAATAATTCAAACAGATGTGTAGACAGTAACATATGTTTCAAATACATATTTAATAATTTTGATTTTTTATAGTAATTTTGATAATTAAAAACTGTGTTTAGCATTATAATCTCTAGTATCTAAGATATATTAAAATTATAGCAAAGCATTTAAGAGATTGAAAACCCAATATTTTGTATTTAGTTAAAAGAGTTGTTATGCAATTTACTCTAAATTATTTGTGGCATTTCGTTAAATTTTGGTTCTTTAGGAAATAAATATAGTAGAGCATTGAAGGAAAGCTACAGTACTTACCTAATGAACCCATCATGCAATGAATCCTCATTACGGTTAACTGAACGTTGTGTAGGTTAACCAGGTCTTGAACAAGGTGTTGTTATAAATATTGTGTTAAATAAAGTGTAAACAAGCATTTATAACAAAAATGCGTAATTGTTATTTTTGTGATTTATTAGCATTTAATGATTACACACATCTTTTTGAATGCTGAAAAGATAGTTGATGTAGGGAGGAGGAAAAGATAAAATGTGCCAATAGAAGTTGTTTTTTTTTCAAACTCCAAAGATCAAAAACAGAAATTCTTAAAGGTCAATTGTGCGTTCCTCATTAATGACAGATTATTGGTCATAAAAACTTAAAAGAAGACAGTTACCACTTTCTTCAGTAATAAATGTCTTCCACCAAACCAGCTAATAATTTAGTTTTTTGTATTATATTTTTGTCTTTTAAAATTTAGAAAAGTACATAATTTTCCTAGCTTTACTTATTTTAGTTTTAATGTATGAACCTATCAGTTATACCTATTTTATATGGTTTAATGTGTTATTGCTATACATAAATACTACTATTACTGAAGTAAATTATTTTAAAAATAAATAAATAATGTGTGATTAAGTTATAGTCCAATTCAGTAATCTTTGGATGATTTGGTTTTATTTTGTAACAACAAAACAGTACTCTAGGACACTCTACAATAGGCATCAATATTAATTAACTAGAATGAGAAGATATTTTTGATTGAACGATTTAAAATAACAGGTTTTAGCATATTAAGGTATTTTACAGTATTTATTAAATATTACAATTTTTATGACGTGTTTACACCTATGAAGTGATGTAATTACAATTCTGGATCTAGTTATGAAATAAATATTTTTTTGTAAATTCTCCCTTTTAACATAATCATTCTAATACCATCAGTTGACAGTAAATAAATCTTCACAATTTTACGTTTTATATAGGTAAAGTTATACATTCATCATTTTTCAATCTTACAATAGTAGGACACACCTAATTTTATTCATACAAATGAATTCATGTATTTCACACACTCTTAAGGTGTAGTGTAACTAGGAAATTTTGTAGCCAAAATTAATAAATAATAATCTTTACTACACATTAAAGATCCCAAAAAATGGTACAAAACAAAAACACACTTGAATTACAATTAAAATCCTATAAGCCATAGTAAACTTTGTTGAAAAAAAAAAAAATACAAAACATGCAATATTTGTTTCTCTTGGCGACCTTGTCACATGCTGATACACTGGTAATGGTAATACAGTGCTGTGTTTCTTTATCAATTTATTTATGTTATTCAATGTGTTCTGGCCTATCTGTTTTTTTTTTTTTTTTTTTTTTTTTTCTCAATTAAGCTAGCTGCTTCCCCCTCATTCCTAAAAATCAAAATCCTGTTCTAGCACATATAAACTAAAAATTGTATAGTGTATTTTTTAAACCAATGTTTGAATAACAATCACAAGCATAACACTGCTAAAGTTATACCAATGATAAAACCACTCGCTAAACAAACAACAATTTAAACTAGCAATAAACACATAACTAAAACATAACATGGCGGTTTACACAGTAAAACCAATTGTGTTAATTTTGATGATAAAATTATGTAAAACCTCAATTTAAATAATTTTGAAATTTTAAACTAGCAATAAAAACGTAACTAAAACGTAAAATTGGTGGTTTACAGGTCTCAATCATTCCGGCACTCTTCTTCAGTTCACTCGTCAGTGGCTACAAACGTAGGGGGGAGTATTTCAGCCCACCCCCTCCTACCCCTAGGAGACAGTTCCATCGGTATGTTGCCTGCATGTCTAGCTCTCTCCCTCTCTATTCTCTCTTTCTTACTACTTCTCTCTCTCTCTCTCTCTCATTCTCTCTTTCTCACCCCGTCTGTATTGCACCCTTGTGGGAATCTGATGTATTCTAGCTTTCTTTTTGTATTTTTCAGATAATGCATTGCGACCTTTGAAATTCATAAATGTTGAACGATTTAAAGGGAATAGAGCGAAAGTTGGTTGCAGAGTCTAATTTCTCGCTGTACATATTTAGCTTGGTTAAAGAAAAAACTGCTTACTATCATATGTAATTCTAAAAATGGGACAAAAATATTTATTGTGAACGCAATGGCAATGAATAATTAAATTATATCGTACAATCGAAAATGTGTACGTAATGTCAAGGAAGGCTGCATGGCATAGTGTTTTTTGAACAACATTTTTGCAGGGATTAGACGCCATGCTGTTTGGGTATTTTGTCTTATAACTTTAACTTTTATTTAAATGAACCTGTTAGCGGTTTTAACAAGAATCAACGTATTTAAAAGTATGTTTCTAAATTGCTGACTCTTATTTCAATCGTATTTGTTAACAAACTTGATATGCATGATATTAACAATGACAATTTAACAATCTCATTTCTCTTTGGTATTTTTATGGAAGAATTGTTCAACTCTTTGTGTTTTTATATCAATGTCTAGTATTCATTTGTGTTCAACTCATTGAGGGGAGCAAGCTGGTCTAGTGGGAGAGCTTGGGACTTCGGTCTCAGGTTCAAATCCTGCCAATCACCTATGGATTTTATCTAGTGATGCCATAACCTTACCTAGGCTTAGCCTAAAATAATGTTTAAAATAATCCCGGGCTAAAAATAATTCTTTTTGATGCATGTATGTGTGTTTTGCAGTGTCCCTGTCATGCGGCTCGATGAGTCTAGCGGGGGTGGGCCCGGCGGGTTCTCAGAGCCCGATTGTTCGCCGCCAGCAACAGACGACCAATCAACAGACGACGACAGCGATTGCGGAGCGTACAGCTATCGACAGCCGCGCTACGTTTACACCAGGTCAGCCTTACACTAGTTCGCCCCAGTCCAGCTTGACCGAGTCGTTCTGTCGCCACTGCGGGGAGGGCTTCGACTCCCTCCCTTCGTCTCGTAGAAGTTCTACACGCGCATACAAGGAAAACCGATCCAGTCAGACGGACATCGTGGATATCGAAGACTTTGAGGAACCGGTCACTGTGGACAAACGGTATACGCTGCAACGGTCGGCCAGTTGCAAAGAGTTGATAGGGGAAAAAACAAGACCTATGGAAGTTAAAATTGAACGAACCGACGCGCCGGTGACACGGTACGATGAAACACAAAGGTCTTGTTATAGTATTGCCGGAAGTAAGACTCCGTCTTTGGATCGCAGTGGAGTCGAGCCGGTCGAGACCAAAGTGTACTCTAGCAGCTATCCCGGTACCACGAGTAGTTTGTCCACCGAAAGCGGAGGAAACGAAGAAGGAGTTTTGGAGCCTGGAGGGAGTGTTTTAGTCATTGATACTGGAAGTTCGAGAGAGGAAATGATACTGAGTCATGACGATTTAAGCCATGACTCTTACGAGCTTTTAGAACGAGAAGATTTATATGCTGAATCACGGTCTTGTAGTATCGACTCTACCGGAGATCAGATGCTTGACGATGAAATGTTTGTGATGGACGATGACTTTAGTGGACACAACGGATCAGGTGAAGTAGAGAAGAGATTAGGCTATGTGGAACCTCGATTCGGTGATCTAGATTTCAAGGAGTTCAATGAAAAGTGCAAGCAAGGATTCGCCTATAGAAGAGCGGTCGAGTTTGGTGAATTTGACGCAAAGTGCAAACCTGGAATGGTAATAGGCTTTGATGATGAAATTAATCAGGGTAGTTTGATGCACTACCCAGTTGAAAGGACCAAAAGTGATCCTTACGTCAGTGATTTCTGGAGAGTTGCGAGACAGCACCGTGCAAGATTGTTGCACCAGAAGTCAATAGATCTAACTCCTACTGAACCGTCTATTGACCCTTCATCTTATCTAAGTGATGATATGAAAAGCAGTTCCCTTGATATACCTTGTGGTAGTAAAAGTGCAGTGGATATTCCATACACGCTGCACAAGCGACACCATATGAATGGGACTGAAAGTATCTCTCCTCTACTTCTGTCACCTCACAAACTGAGTCCAATTTCAGGAAGGAGGTCCCCAGTTAAATTGCCAGGAACTGCCCCAAAAGACATTTCAAAACCAAAAAAGACACCGGTTGATCTAGACCCTCTTACAAAAACTAAAAGCAAACCTGATCTGAATTCTCAAGATTCAGGCCTGTCTTTGTCTGTGGGAACTGAGAGTGCAGATGACTTGCATGACGTTCTTTTAAAAAATGTAGCAAACTTTGACCAAACCAAAGACGTAGAGGAAGACATTCAGTTGAAACAAGCGGTAGATGAAATAATATCAGAATCTCTTGCAGCCCGGAGAAAGGCAGAAAAATTAGAGTTAGAAAAAGAAAAAGTTCCTAAAATGGTAAGTAGAGAAGTGTCTACAGAGAATGAAGTTAATACTAATCTATTGCAAGTTCCAGACGATACAGTGCTGAGGCCTAAAACAAACAAAAAAGAATTTGTAAAAGGAAAGAGTGAAGACACAAAGTCTAAGAAAGGTTCTTTAAGCAAGTCTAGACAAGTTCACAGCGCAGATGGGGGTTTACGAAAAGATTCTTCTTTTGAAAAGAGAGATTCAGCTGTTAAAGTTATAAAAATTGACAGTGATGACGGATTGTGCCATTGTGATAAAAAAGACAGATTGAAAAGTTCATCATTAGACAGTTCAGATCCGGATGTTATTATTGTAGAATATAGAGGAAACAGGAAGAGGGCATTTCAAAAAAGAAGTTCTTCTGGAAGTAAAGGTTCTAAAGATTCAGTTGATAAAGATATTAAAAGGAGTTCTAGCTTGGATGCCCCAAAAGATGGTAAAGACAAGAAGGATTCAAAATCGGAAAAGGGAAAAGATGGAAGACTAATTCGAAGTAAATCTGATGGTAAAGACGACAAGAAAAAAACAAAACCTGATCAAAAGAAACCTATAAGAAAGGATGAACCAAAATTTGAGAAAAATGAAATTCAGGTTGAAGTTGAGATTGAAACCAATAGAAGAAGTAATCCAACCAATGATTCATCAAAGCCTGTTGATATAAATAAACCTAAAATACCAGTAAAACCACAAATACCTACCAAACCACTGAAACTAACGTCAGGAGAGTCAAAAGTACAATCACCTAATGAGAAGCCACTGAAAACACCAGACAAGCCTCCGAGATCGTTTGATAAACCAGTAGTTCCTGATAAACCACAAAAGCTTCCTGATAAACCACAAAAGCTTCCTGATAAACCTAAGGAATTTCAGTCAAATAATGTTGAAAAACCTAAAGCTGATGACAAAACATTGCAAGCCAACGAAAGGAAGGAGAAGATTTCGAGCCCAAATACTGATGCAGCTCTTAAATCTGCTAATAATTCTGGATTAAGTAACAGGGATTTTAAAGACCTCAATTTAAAGCAGAAAGATGAAAAATCCGACACTAAAAAAACTATTACATCTCCTGATACTTCTTGGAAGAAGTTTGGAGACCTTCCTGCTCCAATATCACATAAAAGAGAGAGGTCGCCTGTACTGTTTGCGAGGCTTGGTTTATCTGAGGGTTCTGCTTACTCTCCAACCCATAGACAGTCTTCTGTGACATCTCCGTCGTCATCGAGAAGATGTAAATCTTTAGACGCTCCAGTTGTATCTTTACACCGTCTTCCTCCAGTCACATCTTTCTCTAGCAAAGACGACACTCTTGATAATGAGGAAGATGTTGAGCTTGAAGAAAAAGCTCTGCGTACATATAAGTCCGGGAAAGGCAGTAATGTGTGTCTTCAAGATTCTATAATAGAAGAAAGAAGTCCAGAAGGTAAGGAAACTCCAGACGATGAGAGACAAAATGAACCACCCAGTGAATCAAATGTTAAAGTACCAAACCTTGAAAAACTTGAGGGCGGAGAGCTAAGTAAGGAGATAAGGACACAAGGAAAAAATCAAGATGATATTACGGTGACTTTGGAAAAATTAGATGAAGTTGTCGACAGGGTAAAGGCCGGCGACGGTCTTCAGGAGGAAAATCTTTTACCTACCAATACAGTTAAAAGTGGCCACAGTAAGGTCTCACTGCCTCCATTGTCTCCCATCACCGATAGAGCTTGTTCTCCCATTATGGATTTGCCTCCATCCCCATTTAAAAGTCCTATGTCTCCTTCTTCAAGGACACCAGGAGCCTTATCTCCTGCTCCACTTTCTCCTTCACCCTTATCACCCACTCCGTCCTCTCCTAAACCACCTCTTTCTCCGACTATAATAGAACCTCCCATGTCACCATCGGCCGAGAGAAGACCCAGCACTCGTCAAGAAAGGTTGGATTCATTCAAAAACACAAAAAGTTACTCTGTCGATATTTGGACTTCTGATGAAGGTGAAAATCAGCCTGTTCCAACCATGGAGATAGAAGATATAGATTTTACTTCTAAAGATTATGAAGATGAGACTTTCATTATAGAAAATGCAGACGAACCTGATGTTAGTAGTACAAAAGTGGAGGATGTAAAACTAGTTGAAAGTGGAGGAAGTGATATAATGGAGGATCACCAAGAGTCGCCCAAACATGCAGCAGAGGTGGTTTCTACAACAGAAGATGAATGTTGGGTGTCTGTTGAGGATATTAGACAAATAGGCGAAGATTCAGAACCTGGAGACGTGAAAAGTAGCGATAACCAAGACAATGAAGATAAGACTGATAGAAGTGATTCTTTGAAAGTAGAGTTGGACGAGAATACAGATGTGTCTAAAGTACTTATTGTGAAAGATTCGGAAAAACTTGAAAGAACAATAAAGGATTTTATGGAAGTTATTGAACCGTTAGAAGAACCATCGACTTCTGGCATTAGAATGATACCTGAGAAAAGGAGTTTTGACGATGAACCGTCCAGTTCATCGTCTATTAAACAGGTTGAATTGTCATCCACATGGAAGCCTTTCCCTCTGGAAAGTTCAGGAAGTTCAAGCCTCGAAGAAGCGATATTTCCTCCTGATGATACAGGGCATTACGCTGATGAGGAGGAAGGTTCAAGTCATTCCAATGGTCAGGATGATTTCCCCTCAGGGTTTGGATACTCGATGACGGGTGCTGAGATGATTATAAGTGGGTACACTGGTGGTATGTTTGGCTTGTCTAGAACACTTTCTCGAATCAGTGAAAGAAGTACTACATCAGAGCAGGAGCGATCGGACTTTGAAGACGATATCTCAACAAAGCCCTCATCGCGATCTCTGTCAGTTGACGACGAATCTTTACTCTCTAGCGATCGGCAACCAAGTCTCTCATCTGACCCTCCTTCAGGCCCCAACCCAGAGGACCAACCTCTGCCTGACTTGCCTCCTTTACCTAAAGAACCTGATGATGTAGAAGAAGATGACACTCTTGAAGGAAAACTCGGTTTTAAAATTCCTCCGCCTTTATTGCCAGTCGGTGAAGACGAGTGGCCTTCTCCTCCGAACTCATCACCCTTTGATACACCAGTTGTTAGCCACGTTGAAACATTTTACATGGAAATAAAACCCGAAGAAGCTACCAAAGTAGTTGTAGACTCAGCGGAGATGGACAATGAAGCTGAGGCCGAGAGTGATACTGATGAAAATAAAACACTTCAAGAAGAATTCACAGGATTCGATGAATCTTCAGTACAGGACGAAACAACTGTTAAATTGGCAAAAAGGCCAAAAACTTCTTCTGGGATGTACGCTAACTCTGCTAGTGAAGATACTTCAGTCGGAGTTTCTGATTTCTCTAGCAGCACAAGCACTGTGAAACATTGTCAGTATTACTCGTGCGCTGTGAAATCAGACGATAGTTCCCTTGCAGGTGATTTTGGGTTATCTCTTTCAACCGAGATGTTGTCTAGTCGCAAAAGTTCTGCAGATTCCGTCGACACGTTTCAACAA